CAAACCTTAGTCTCCAGAGAGACACCACTGCTCTTCAGTACTTTGGAGAGGTCCCTAAAAGCAGATTTTCCCATTGCAATACGTCTTAATTTTCTGGCTACAAGTGCCAAGAGTGTTGACTGTGGAGCCAAGCAGACTAAAGCTGTGAACAACCTCAATCTCTTCACCATCCCTCCTGATACTGCCAATTGGTCCAGTGGTGAGAATCTTCGTCTTCTTGACATTGAGCCTCAATCCATATTGGCGGCAGCAGTCCTTGATCCTTTGCAGCAAGCGCTTCAGGTCCTCCTCAGTTTCAGCAAGGACGGTTGTATCATCTGCATAACACAGATTGTTGATAGATCTTCCACCAATCTTGATGCCACATTTCTCCTCACAGAGCCCAGCCTCCCAGATGTTCTGTTCTGCATTCAGGTTGAAAAGGTATGGAGACTGGACAGATCCCTGGCATATGCCCTTCCCAATTTTGTTTCCTTGCTCTGTTCTGACAACTGCCTCTTGGTCCAAGTATAGGTTTCTCATTAGCACGATTAAATGTTCTGGGATTCCCATTCTTCTCACAGTCAGCCACAGTTTGTTATGATCCACGCAGTCAAATGCCTTTGCACAATCAATGAAACACAGAGCATTGGAAAAAGACTCATCAACTACCTGCATTATTGAGGTGATACAATCTTACTTGCTGAAAATGAAAAAGTCTTGAAGCACTTATGATAGAAGATTAAAGATTATAGCCTTCAATATAGATTATATCTCAACACTAAGAAAACAAAAATTTTCAGCACTGGACTAAGATGCAACATCATGATAGATGGAGAAAAGACTGCAGTTGTCTGATTTTATATTACTTGGATCCACAGTGGCATAAGTCATGAAATTTAAAAAAAAGAGTGTTAAAGTGGAGAAATGTGCTGTCAAGGTCTTCTCCAAAGTCTTTTGTTTTAGTTTTGTGTTTTATTTATTTAAAAAGTTCAGGCCTTGACTGCATATTTCCACAGTGGGTACAGGTGCTGTTCTCGGTGCTGCTTCTTGGTCTTCAGATTATCCTCATGCTTGCTGAGCCTTCGGCGCATGGCATGTGTTTTCTTGGGCCACAGATCCCGGGGTTTGTACTTCTTGCCCTTATAGTATTTTCTGAGGTTCTCCTCCTGAGTCTGGTTATAATAACAGTGAGAATACGGGCAATGGATTTTTGGAGAACTCGGATTTTTGAGAGCTTAGAAGCCGCATCGCCTGTCACTTTGGTGACGTGCAGCTGGCAACGTTCCACCTTCATATAGTCCAGCTGTTTTAACAGCTCCTCTTTCTTCTTGCCGCAAAGGTCCCAAGCCTTGATTGTGGCCATGGTTGAGCGACAGAACCTGGCTGCCGCCTGATCCAAGCCCAAAAGAAAGAGGAGTTCTCCAAAGTCTTAAAGAGGAAAACTGTCAGTGTAAAGACCAAGGTGTGCCTGATCCAAGCCATGGTAATTTTAATTATTCCTATGCATCTCAAAGTTAAACAAAGAATAAGGAGGACAGATCATTTAATGCCTTTAAATTATGACAACTGGTGGAGAATATTTGAATAGACTGTGGACTGCCAAAAGAACAAATAAATCTGTCTTGAAGGCAAGGAGAGTGAAACATCATTTCACTTACTTTGGACATATTTTCAGGAAGTTCTTGGTGAAAAGCATCTTGTTGGGAAAGGCAACAAAAGAAAAGAAAACCCTCAGTGCTACGGGCTGACACACTGACCAGCACAATGGATTTGAGCAGGACAGAGATGATGAGGATGGTGCCGGGTAGGGCAAGGTTCAGTTCAGTTGTAACAGACTCGATGGCACCTAACAGCAATAACATGTATTTATATATTTCAGTAAAAAACTACTTTGATAGTACTTAATTACCTCACTTAGTGAAGCCTTTGGAGATGCAGGACCATGAGCTGAGGACATGTTAACAATGCATATTTTGGGGCTCCACCCAAGACTTGCTAAATCAGATGGAATGGGGCTGTGGTCCAGCAACCTGTGTTTTAACAAGTCCTCCAGTAGACTGTGTGATGCTTGGTAAAAGTTTAAAAAAAAAAGACCATTAATTTGTGGTGCTAGAGACAAGTACTGAATACCCAGTGGACAAAAGATCAAACAAGTCTGTCCTGGAGGAAGTGCAACCAGAGTGCTCTCAGAGGCAATGATATTTAAGAACTGTCTCACATAATGCAGGTATGTTGTCAGGAGGGGCCTTGGAGAGACATAATGCTGGAAGAGGTGGAGGGTCAGGGTAAAGAAAGACCCTCAACACAGACTGAAATAGTGACTGTAAAAATAGGTTTATCAGACATTGTGATGATATTGTAAGACAGGACAAGGTTCAAATCTGTTATTCATAGTTGTTGTTGTTATGTGCCGTCGAGTCATTTGCGACTCATAGCGACCCTATGTACAACAGCCCTAAACCGTGCTCTATCCTGTGCCAATCTCATTGCCTCTGACAAACCC